GGCCCCGCCCCTCGCAGCCCCTCCGCCTGCGAGCCGACCACAGGCGGGTGGCGGAGCAGTCGAAGCCTCGGGGCTCGGGAGCGGGTCGATCGCCGGCCTCGGGCCGTGGAGGTGGAAAGAGGGCGTTCGCCGCGCCAGCCGGACGCTGCCGGGAGTGTGGGGCGCGTTGGGCAGGCTGGTACGGCCTCCCTTTCTGTCCCGCACCGCTCTTGCGGCGGGTCTCCCAAACCCTCTCTTGCTTGGGCCACCGGAACTTCCCGGTCCCAGTGATCCTGGGACCTGGCTTTAACTCCTTTCTCCCCAGTGTGGGCCCTGGGCAGCTTGAAACCGAGCAGCGTGGCTTCCCTTTCTCCACCCTGTGCCGGGGCTCTCGCGGGAGGCTGGGACTGAGATGGGGTGAGCGTCCAAGGGGACAGCTGAGCGAGGCCAAAATCAGATCTTAGGACCTTTAATGTAAGATTGGTCTCTGTTTATCCTCGATTTGGGCACAAATATCGAAGGCCTGGACGCCACCCACGGCGACTGGAGGAGAAGTGTAGGGCTTTGCAGCATCTTGGTGCCTGTGGCTCAGGCTCTTTCTGGCTGTGTGGCCCTGAACGAATCACTACACCTCTCTGAGCCTGTTTGCTTTCCTATAAAATGAGGTTGCTGGTACTGTGGTGCCTTTGTTATTGGGGTTAGTAACAGGATGAGAATTACAAGAGGACTGGGGAGTCTGGAGATCCCGCAAGGGCCACTGTAGGGATCGGACAGAAAAGGGGGGCCCGTTTTCTCCCTGCTCCACAGAGTCAAGGCTTGCTCAGGTCAAGTGTCTCTGAAATAAGGCCACTTTGTTGTGTTCTGCTGGAGGACAATGGGACACGCTGCTTCTTCATCACAGATTCTGATGAGCGAATGGCCAGTTAGCGCTCCGATCACATCGCCTTGAGGCAGGAAGAACTGCGAGCCAGGATGCAGCAGTAGCGTTGTTCCAGGAACACCTCGGTCCTTGTCCCACCTGCACTTTGGGGATAAGAGCCTGGCATGACCGGCGTGAGCTTTGCAATCGGAAAGACCTGTGTCTTCAGTCTGTTGCCTTCATTGCAAAATAAGGACGAAAGAAACCTTGTGTTGTGAGGCAGTAAATGTTTTCTTTCTCTCCTTCTCTTTCCCACCTTCTCACCTGTGAAGTATTTAGCAGCCAGGAGAGCTCGGGTGAAAGAGACAGTGATCATCTTGACCCAAGCAAGAGTTGGAGCCAGAACTCAGATCTAGGAATCTTGAGCCTCCAAACACTCTCCTTGGTTTTTTTGTTTAGGGTATTCCGGAGCCATTGGACTTTTCTTTCCCTCCCACTTTTGGCAGTCATGCACTCATCCCTTCATTCCTCCAGCCAATGCAGTGTCTCTCAGATATGCACCACTCTGAGCCCCGTGCCTGCTGCAGTACACTATGATAGTTCCGTACTTAAGGAGCTTGCTGTCTTAACACCTTCCTCTGCAGGCTTAACTCGTGATTTTCACAACTGAATGACAGAAATATTAGGATTAGGTCCACTTTACAGAGGAGAAAACTGAGGCACCCAAGATGAAAGACCTGCCATAGCATAAAAACATTAAACTGTCTTTTGGGATCTATCCATTCTGTACTCTAGGCGCTTCTATTCTACTACGAAAGTAAATAAAAAGTTGCCTAAAAAAAAAGTTGCCTTTGACATGTTATTATTATCTCTCGCTTCGTTTGCTAATGTTTTTCCCGTTAACAAAAACATCCCTTCCCAGAACGCGAACGCCAGCCAGTACGGAAGGTGCTGGCTACTAGAGCAAAACCCCCTCTGCTCGCCTGGTTAGCCAAGGCGACTTCCTGCCACCGGGTAGCCTCGTGATCATATGCCCTTAATGCGCATGTCTAAAGGGAAGTTGGACTGTACCACTGTGCCCTACGGAAGGGGTATGCGTTTGGGTTTTTTAAGTTAAAACAGTTTACCATTACTAGGTTTCTACGATTCCAGGTCTTTTAGAAGGACATAAGTAGGACTGAGGTAGAAAAGAAGATGAATGGGCCATGAAGAATACAGACCGAAACGGAGTGGGGTTTGGGCTCTCCCCTTCGCACGTAATGGGAGGAGTCCGGCCGGACCCAGTTCTTTCCTTTCGCTGCGGCGGCCGCGGCCATGAGGTGGGAGCGCGCGGGCCTGGGCTTTGGGGTTGTGGGGCTGGTGGGGACGGCGGGACTCTACTACGCACCCGGGTCAGGAAAAGGAGAGAGGCAGCCCCAAAGCGAGAAGTCCGGGTGCCTGGGGCAGACCGGAGCACGCGGGGCCGCGGCCTTTGATGCCGGGTCGGGGCGGCGGCGCTCTCGCGAGGCCCGAGA